GTCCTCAAGTCGCTTGCCGGCAGCTCTTGGGGTGCTGATAAAAACACCTTGTTGACCTCTTACAAAGCAATAGGTCGGTCGGTGGTAAGCTATGCGGCGCCAGTGTGGTACGCGAATGTAAGCGATACGCAGTGGAAGAACATACAAACCTGCCAGAATCCCGCCCTGAAAACTGCGACAAGGTGCCTCCTTATGACGCCAGCGGACCATTTACATGAGGAGGCAATGGACTTACCCGTACATCGTCACAACAGGATGTTGTCGATGCAGTACCTGCTTGGGTGTTATCGCAGGAATCATCCATGCCATAATTTTATGGATAGAATTTCCCACCCAGACACGTAAGGAGAGACCTACACGATCTAGAGAGAGAGAGGTCCAACGGTACAAAAGAGAACCCCTAGATCGTGAGGCTTATCGAGCAGGAATTACCAGCATTCACAGGGAAGCAGTGACCCAGGCAATGGACCAATACCGTGTGAATGCAGTACTTGGAGTCCACCCACCGCCTATAGCAGCAGAAGAGCGACAGCTGCATAGACAAACGAGAGTGGTTTTAGCCCAACTAAGATCAGGATGGTGCAGCCGCCACTACATAAGCAAAGACCCCAACCACTGTAAAAAATTCAAGTGTGTGATTTTTCTATTCAACGATAGATGACAGTGCCATAGCCTACCACAGACGACAGCATATTAATCATCTGCTTAGCTAGAATAAAAACTGTAATCGACGTCTATTCGCGTAAGAAGCCGAAAATTTATAGAAGATATGCTATTCATAGAAGGCTAATAAAAGGTCATATATTTATTCTCCTTTCTATTGGAGACGTACAGTTGGTGTGTGATTTTTCTATTCAACGATAGATGGCAGTACCATAGCTTAGCTGGAATAAAAACTGTAATCGACGTCTAATCGCCGAAGATTTATAGAAGATAGATATTCATAGAAGGCTTATAAAAGGTCATATATTTATTCTCCTTTCTATTGGAGACGTACAGTTGGTATTCCGCATACATAAAATTACAAAGAAGGCCTTCTATCTGTACAAAACATATATAAAGGTGGCCTTCAGAACATCTGCTGCAAATAAAAAGTCTCCATTAATATTCTGTCCATTGTGTATAGAATATCCACAAAAAAACCTACAGAAACTTCTAAGTCGGTAGATCTTCTATATGTAGAAGACGAACAAAGGTTTTCTATCTACCACGTATCTCAGATAGTCTTCTATACATAGAAAATATATTGAAGCTATTCTCTATGTTGAAAAAATTTAGGAGACCTTTTGAAGTTGTTCTATTTTTTTTTTAGATCCTACAGAAAGATTTTATTGTAGAAAACCTATTGGGGGACTAATTTCTAACCGCCTACGTTTATTTATGGATATTTAAAAATATATTTATTTGAGCACTGAATTCTTAATTTGACAACAAGTGAAGGATCTTATATAATAATAGTTTTTGTATACAATGCATAAATATGTATAAAATGTGTGTATGTATGTCGAACATATGTTCGCATATAAATCTAGACCGATCGATTTTCAAATGTTTGGAATTTTACATTATTTCCAAAGTATTTGAGCCATTCATTTGTGAATATGCATGTGTATGCCTACGGTTGATCTTTTTATAACCAATACCATGAGGTGGATATTCAAAATCTCTAAAGTCCATCGCTAATTTTACATGAGGGCTACGCCACATGAAAATTTTGGTACGAAGAGATTTGACACAAAGCCCTATTAAATTACCGAATCATGAGAATCCAAAATACCAAATTACAGTCAATTCGGTTGAAAAACATAACCAAGCCCCCCAAATATCGAAATATGGGAGGTTATGTTATATGGGAGCTACCTTTAAAAGTGAGCCAATGATGACAATTTTGGTAAGGATATTTGTTACCCCATTAAAACCAAAAATACAAAATTACAGCCAATTCGGTACAGAAACACGATCAAGATCCTCAAAATATCAATATTTGGAGTGTACCTCTATATGAGGGCTAACCTACAATATGGACCAATTTCGATAATTTTTGGTAAGGAGATTTTCTACCTGATGAGAACTCAAAAACCCAAATTACAGTTAATTCGATTCGAAAACATGACCAAGCTCCCCAAAATATCGAAATTTGGAAGGTAACTCTATAGTGGGGTTACCCTACAAAATGAACCAATTTTGATAATTTTTGGTAAGGAGATTTGCTAAATTACCGCCAGTTCGCTTCGAAAACATGACCAAGCCCCCTAAATTAACGAATATTTGAGGGTGCCATTATATCAGAACTATTTTTAAAAGTAGACCAGTATTGATAATTTTTGGTAAGGAGATTTTCTACCCTATGCGAACCCTAAATACCAAATTACAGTGAATTTGGCTGAAAATCATGCTCAAGCTCCGCAAATTACCGAAATTTTGAGGGTGCCGTTATATCGGGAATACCCTATAAACTGGACCAATGTTGACAATTTTTGGTAAGGAGGTTTGCTACCCCAAGAGAACCCTATATACGAAACTGCAGCTAATTCGGCGTAAATATATGACCAAGCTCCCCAAAATATCGACATTTTAGAATTACCGTTATATGGGGACTACTGTATAAAGTGGACCAATATACATTATTTTTAGTAGGAAGATTTGCTGACCTATGAGAACATAAAATACCTAATTTCAGCCAAATCGATTAAAAACGTGCCCCAATTTCGTCAATATAGGAAAATATGCGAGGTACTGTCATATGGGAGCTATATTTAAAAGTGGACCAATATTGATCATTTTTGGTAGGAGGATTTGCCAACCTATGAGAACACAAAATACCAAATTACAGCCAATTCCGTTGACAAACGCTACGAAAATTCCAAAAATAGCGAAATTCGGAAGGTACCGTTATAAGGGGACTATCCAAAAAGGCGGACCAAAATTGAAAATTTTGGTAGGGAGATAAACCACCCTGTGAGAACCCAAAATACCAAATTATAGCTAATTTGGTTGAAACACGCGATCAAACTCCCAAAAATACCGAAATTCGGAAGGTACCGTTATATAGGGGCTGCTCTAAAAAATTGACCAATATTAATAATTTTTGATAGGGAAATATCCCACCCTGTAAGAACCCAAAATACCAAATTACAACTCATTCGGTTCTTAAAATATCGCAAATTAGGGGGAGGCTATACAAAAAAAATATTTAAAAGTGGACCAATGTTGACAATTTTTGGTAGGAGGATTTACCAACCTATGAGAACCAAAAATACCAAATTACAGCAAATTCCGTTGACAAACGCTACGAAAATTCCAAAAATACTGGAATTCGGGAGGTACTGTTAAAAATGGACCAATATTGAAAATTTTGGTAGGGAGATAAACCACCCTGTGAAAACCCAAAATACCAAATTATGGCCAATTTGGTTGAAACACTATATGTAGTGTTGAAACGCTATATGTAGGCTATAGCAAAAAATGGTCCCATTTTCAATATATGCAAAATTTCAAAGCTCTATGGGAAATATCAGGAAATTTATTTTGATCTCAATGAAGATCTAAAAAAAAAGTATCTTCATCTTATAGACCTATAGGTTAATCTGAAGAAGTTTCTCCGATCATAAATGAGGTAAAGGTGGCATTTCTTCTAACAAATCGAAAACAGAATTTCTGCCCATAGAAGTTCTTTCTGCCAAAAGAATACCTTCCTACCTGATGGTTTTCTCGTCCTCATCGAATAGCTGAAGAAGGTCTAAAGAAAGAATTTTCATCTTATAGACCTATAGAAAATCCTGAAGAAATTGCTCCGCTTATAAATGAGGTAAAGGATGTATCTCTTCTAAAAAAATAATCTTAAATATGTGTTCTGCCGTAGAAGATCTTCCTGATATGACCAACTTCGAGGCTTGATTTCTCACATTTTATTTGATACTGCAATTTAATAAACCTTGTCCATGGAAGATATATAAACTTTATGGGTTGGTCTCAGGTGAATATTTCGAAGTATTGCAAACGGAATGACAAATTTAATTTATTCCCCACCTTGTGGTGAAATTCATTTCAACAAACGAATAGAGGACTTCTCTATTATAAGGACAATCCGAATAATATCTAAAATTACTCTATTAAAATAATATCTAATAATATCTAAAATTACTCTATTATTATTAAGAGACTGTAGCCAATTCCGGAACCCTTAACAGGCATTTTTTCCGATCTGGTTTTCCTTTTCTAAGATCGGTCCAAATATGTTTATCTATGTAAAAATGTGTGTGTGTGTATTCTGAAAATTCTTGTGTACACTCTTAGATCTAACGGATTTAGTGTGTGTGTGTTTAATTTTTTTGATTACAATTCATTTTGAGTTTTATTTTCTCTTTTTTCAGTTTTTCTTATAATTCAGTTTATTGACATTACATTTAATTATTGTCTCGGAAGACTGTGGCGAAAACAAAAAAAAAAAATAATTCATAAAATAAAAATAGAAATTCTTACTAAATATTCAATTAAATTCGTTACAAACCAACAAATAATAGTGATAATAATCATAATTTCAATACGGTTAAAGAAATGTTCAGATCAAAACACAAAAAGGAACAATTTCTAGCTTATATAACTAAGTAAATATATATTTATATATAAAGTAATTATGTATACATACATATATGTGGTATATAAAATTCTAACAAATAACAAATTTCAGTTTCTTCTCATTTCTCTTCTTCTTCATCATCTTACAAACTAACTTCACAATTAATTCAACTCGTTTCTTTTAAAAACACAAATATTTTCGATTTCAAAATATTTGTAATACAGTGTAAAAAATTCGATAATAATAATTAATAATATTAATAATAATACACATTAATTTCACATATTGCACACAATAATTGGAACAAAACAAAACATGAACAATAAAAATTCAAAATTTGAATTTCAAATGAAAATAATTTCAAAAAAATAGTTTGGAATGATTCTCCCCCGTTTTAATGGCCTGATTGCCATCGCATTATCATCTCGTATTCTTATTTATCCAACGATGATATCGATGCTGAGATTTCGGATACATCTTGAGATTCTTCACGTGCCCGTCTTTTGGCGGCCCATTCCACAATACAGAAACAGGCTGCACCGATGGTACCAAAGACGACAAGTATACCCAGTTGGGCTCTCAAACCCAAATGCGAGGAATATAAGAAGCTAATGGCAGCGGCAACGGACTGAAAATACAAGAAGAAGAATAAAAGCGGGATAAGATTAGGATAGGGTTTATTAAATTTGAAGATTAATAAAAAAAGAATTCTGTTTGGTCATGGCAGCAAGGTATTCTATGGGCAATCTGTCCATTGGAAAGGAAAGGTTTCCGTGAGCTTTTTTGTGGTCAACGAACCTTTTTGCAGGTATTCTATAGTTAGACCTCCTTCCGATTTTCCATTTTCAGGTCTTTTATAGGGAGAAGAAAGAATTCCTTGAGATTTTCTACCTGCAGAAGTTCTTTTGTGGATCTTCCATGGACAAGGTTAATTAAATTACAGTATCAATAAAAAGGTGGAGAAGGCGAAGCTTCAAAGTTGGTCATATCAGGAAGATCTTCTATGAGCAGAACACCCATCTAAGATCCTTTTTAAATGCTTTTAAATGCCTCCTTTACCACATTTATGATCGGAGAAATTTCTCCAGGCTTTCCTATAGGTCTATAAGATGAAGAGACTTTTTTAGAACTTCTTCAGCTTTTCGATGTGGACGAGAAACACTACAGGTAGATCTTCTATGGGCAGAACACTTGTTTCCGATTTGTTAGAAGAAATATCTTCTTTAAGGGAACCCCCCCCATTCACGATTTTTTATTTTGAAGATTTTAAATGGGCTGGTAAATGAATACCAATGCTTGTTAAGGTTTGTAACTTTGCACATATATATTTGAAGATTTAAAAAGGAAGAAAAATAATTTACAAAAAAGTTTTGTTGTTGTTTTGTTGTTGTTTTTGGGGTTCAAAGAAAAGTCCATATTTTCGATGGCGGGCATGATAACTCATCACTGGAACATCGGAATCCGAAAATTCCAACTGTGTTAGAAAGAGGACATGTCTGGCTCTCGTATGAACTAGGATTATTGACTTCGCACAACAATTAACAAAATGGCGGAACTTTGAAAAATTTTTTATGAAAAATCGCCTATTTTTTACCACAAATTAAGTTAAAAAATAAGGAAGATCTTCACCGATTGGCTTTATCCTAGTTCATACGAGAGCTACACACTCCCAGAGAAATGTGTCAAAATTTGAAACCGATTGGATTATTAGTTTTTGAGTTATCGTGCCCGCCATTCGCAAAAGAGAAAAACGCGTTTAAAGTTTGAGAAGCCCTTTAGCCGTCACTTGATGCTGTACAATAAATCGGCTATATCTTCAAGAGTTCTTGAGATTTTCACTTGAAATTTTGTAGGAACATTCTAGAATTAGAGTAGATTCGAATTAAATCAAAAAAAAATTTGACACCGAGAATGGGGGGGGTCCCCTTAACTCATTTATGATCGGAAAAACTTCTTCAGGTTTTCCTATAGGTCTATAAGAATAAGAGATAATACCTTTTGTGTGGCTTCTGTAAACAGAAAACCTTTTTCTAGATTTCTGCGGATATATCAACCGGTCACACATTGATGTCTGCAGATTTTCTATGAACATACCATTTTCAACAGATCTTCCGTAAGGATAAAACTTTCTTCTGTGAGAAGAAGAAGTGGTGTTCTTATCGAAGACCTGGATATTTTTTATGAAAGTGCTTGAACTCTTATGAAAGAGCTTGAACCTGGAGCTCTTCTTATAGAAGACCTTGGAGGTTTTCTTATCTAAGCCCTGGAGCTTTTTTTGTCGATTACCTGAAAGTCTTCTTAAATAAGGCCATGAGTTCTTTTTAAACTATACCTGGAGGGTTTCTTATAGAAAAGCAGGAGTTAATTTTGTAGAAAAGCTGGAGATATTTCAAAAGAAGACCTGATAGTCTTATTGACTTGGAGGTCTCCTTATCGTAGACCTGCACCTTTTTTTTTATCGAAGACCTGGAGGTTTTCCTAAAGAAAGCCTGGAGTTTTTCGTAAACTAGACATGGAGGTATTCTTATAGCAGAGCAGGGGCCTTTTTTTAGAAGAGCTGGAGGTATTTTAACAGAAGACCTGAGAGTCTTTTTAAATTAGACTTGGAGTTCTCCTTATCGTAAAACAGCAGCTCTTTTTATCATAGACCTTTCTTAAAGAAGTCCCGGAGTTCTTCCTAAACTAGACATGGAGGTTTTCTTATCGAAGTTCTGGAGGTCTTCATATAGCAGGGCTGGTGTACTTCTTAAAGTAGAGCTGGTAGTATTCTTATCGAAGAACTAGAGCTCCTGGAACTATTTTTATCAAAGACCTGCAGCTCTTTGTTAGAAGAGATGGAGCTCTTGCTATCAAAGAACTGAAGCTCTTATTTTCTATGAACTGGTGATCTCCTTATAGAAAACATGGAGCTCTTCTTATTGAAGAACTGGAATTCTACTTATCATAGACCTGGGGGTTTCTTATCGTAGACTTGGAGGTCTAATTATCGAAGACCTGGAGCTGTTCTTATAGAAGACCTGGAGGTATTTTCACAGGCTTACAACTCTTCTTATCGAAGACATAAAGACATTCTTATCGAAGACCTGGAGCTCTTCCACCGAAGACCTCGAGCTTATTCCATCGCAGATCTAGAGATCTTATCTTCTTTCATCCAAGACCTAGCGATCTTCTTTTCGCAGACCTAGAGATCTTCTTATTGAAGACCTAGAGACCTTCTTATGGAAGACCTAGAGAACTTCTTATCAAAGACAAAGAGATCTTCTTATCGAAGTCCTAGAAATCTTCTTATAAAAGACCTAGAGATATTCTTATCGAAGACCTAGGGATCTCCTTATCGAAGAGATGAAGGTATTCTTATCGATGACCTGGAGCTCTTCTTATAAAAATAAAAAAATATCAGATCTTCTATGAACAGACGGTCTTTTATAGGCAAGAGCGGGTCTTTTATGCACAGAAGACTTTTTTGAACAATCCTTAACCTATTTTATGGACGGAAAAACCCCCTATACTTCCAATTTTCCATGATAAGAATTTATTCTTCAGATCTTCTATAAGGAGAAGGCTTTCATTGGATCTACAATGGGACTAAAAGCACCTTCAGAAGATCTTGTGAGGGGCTTCTATGTAGAGAAAACATTCCTTAGGCTTTCTATGAGCATATTTCCTACAAGTCTCCCATTGTCCTGCAGGTCCTCTGTATGGAGCTTCGACACGAGTAGAATACCTCCCACTGGTCTTCTATGGAGAAAAGACCTTCTATGAACAACAAATCTTCTTCAGATCTTCAGGATAACTATATTTTAAAGGTCTCTTGTAAACACCAAAATACCCTCTTCTGCTATTCTATAAGAAACCTAAATGACAGATTGTCTTCCACAGCGCTTCTATAAACAGATTATATTCTGCTGGTCTTCTAAGACCGAAGATGTTTTTAGATTAAATTTTGTTAAGCTATGGGTTAAAGATCTCCTTCGATATTTAATGCATCAAAAAAAAAACTTTTTATAAGAAATGAAGATTTAATTGGAAGGAGAAGATCTTTTATACATCTTCTATGTACAGAATACCTTCTAGAAGTCTTTTTCTGACCGGAAGATTTGCTTATCGCAGTATGTGACCTTCAGCCCGAAAAAAAACTTCTTTAAGGTCTTCCATAAAGATGAAAAATAAGGTCTTCTAAGGTAAAAAAATCTTCTTTAGTCCTTCTGTATGGATGAAGAGAACTTGTATAAGAAGAAGAACTTCATATAGTCTCCTATGGATCGAAGCTCTTCTTTAGGCAAATAAATAAATTTAGGGTAATAAGACTTTATTTAGGACTTTTATGAAGACGGGACCTTCTTCGGGTTTTTATAAGAAAAATGAATAATTTAAAATAATAATAATTTAAATTAAAAAAATAATTAAAATTAATTAATAAGGTCTTCATGAGGATACTTTCAGATTATCATAGGACTTCTTTGAACCATCATCAGGCCTTCCAGGGTCCAAGACCTTCTTTAAAAACGAAAACGTCGTTCGTTTTTTTACTGGGTGGTGAAGACATTCAGCAGGTCTTCTGCGAACTGAGGGCCTCTCAAATGTACTTTATGAACACAAGACCCTTTTTGCCGGATTTGTTAGGTCTTCTCAGGGGTTAGAAGGCTTTCAGGTCAGAATAACTTCTTCTATGGACAGAAAAACTTCAACATGTATTCTACAGCCAAATATATTCTTTTAGACATCTATAAGCAAACTAAGATTTTATTCAGGAAAATATTCTGCTGGTTTATAATGGACTGAATGCCACTTGCAGGTGTTTTATTCATTAAATTCTTTCTTCTGGATTTGTATAGACGGAAGAAACAGAATACGTAATTTACAACTTCTAGAAAGAGAAAAACTTCTTCAGGTCTTACAGACTTCTCTGGACATCTTTTAGACTTCTCAAAGAATGTTTTTCGTAAGATCGTATATAAGTAGAAGATATTTTGCAGGTCTTCTGTGAAATCATGCTTTTCAGATATTCTACGAGAGAATCTACTTGTTCCATTTCTATGGAAGAGTTACCTTCTGATGGTCTTACATGGTCACACGGTCCTTCGAGCTCTTCTATGTGGCCATTATTCTGTCTCTTTTATAAAGGGAGCTTTTTGGTCTTCCTTGAGAATACCAATAAAAACTTCACGTCTATGGCACTGAAGATCATTGGATTTTTTATAAATTAATAGTATACGTATATGGGTCTTAAGATCCTTGAAAAAATATAATTTCAAGGATTCTATTTCTATGGCAGTGAAGATCGTAAAAGAAATATTTCTGAAGAATATTATTTAAACAAAATCTATGCTAAAGATCATTGGAAAATATTCATTAAATATCTACGCCTACGGCTCTGAAGATCATTTGAAATCTACGCCTAAGGCTCTGAGGATCCTTGAAAAAATATTATTTCAGAAATCTACGCAAACCTGAAGATACTTGTCAAAATATTATTTAAAAAATCAAATCTGAAGATCCTTGTAAAATGTTTTTAAATATCTGTGCCTAAGGCTCTGAAGATCCTTGAAAAAATTGTCTTTAAAAAATCTACGCCTAAGGCTATGAAGATCCTTGTAAGTATCTGAGGATTCTTTGACAAATATTTTTTTAAAAAATCCACGGCCATGATATGGAAAACAATTAAAAACTCGAGGATCTAGCAAAAATATAGTTAAAAAATGTTAAGCCTAAGAGTCCGAAGATCCTTAGAAACATATTCTTTAAAAAACATCTCCTAAGACTCTGAAGATCCTCGAAAAAAATAATCTTTAAGAAATTGTTTCAGAAAATGCTCTTCTATGAGAAGACATTGATCTCACCTATTAAGAGACCTTCATGTTCTTCGAAAAAGAGAACTTCTGGTGAATCTACGTAAACCATTTTCTTGTCTTCTGTTTTGAAACCTTTTGGCTACCGTTTTGAAATGAAGAGCATTAGGTCTGTTATACAAAACTCACCTGTGTAAATTTAAACAAAGCAAATGCTCCAACGGAATTCTTAACGAACACACCACCCAACATCGAATAGATTTGTGTATTAAAGCAGGCATCACCCAAACCCAATAGGAAGGCGCACAACAGAGCAATCCATGTACGTGGTGGATCAAAGAAGGAAATGTCATCGGTATCATTGAACGGAGCACTATCGGGTAAATTGAAGAAAATCAATAGGAATGCTACCATATGGATGAAATAGCCGGCAATGACAATCGGGTCACGGCCGTAACGGGTTGTTTTCGAAGCCAAAATGCCGAAAAGACTGCCACCGAAAACTTCGCCCACACCAATGCAAATGCCAGCCAAACCCATTATCTCCTTCGGTGTATCGGAGATTTTCTTGGTGAAGCCAATCGATGGACCATAGACGCCACTGAAGAAGGAGAGTTCGAAACCTAAGCGGAAGGAAAATAAAATGATCGAATTTAAATTTATTTCCATTATATTTCTGAGCTAACTTACCCGTATACAAAAAGGCCATACTAAGCAGCAACATATCTCGCGTCATAAACAATTGTCCGGCGGAACGGAATGCCACACGGGCACTATCCCATGGTGTTTGCGGTTGTCGCAACTCCGTATCAACACTTGAATTGTCCGGAACATAACGTAAAGTTGCCAAGAAGATAACACCCAATACGGCCACACCAATTAGCACCCCAATAACCAGCGAACGGGTCTGTGAGTCAATGTGATCCTTATTTTGGAATTGATAGTAGACGAACAGGTTGCCAAAGAACATACTGCACTGTAGTAGGGCCCAAAATATACCCGAATTTCGTGAGATATTTCCAGAATCACTGCAACGTGCCAAGAAACTTCCCTGGCCGGTCCAGGTGATTGCAGCACCAGCACCCAATAGGGCACTGGCCACGTACAGCAGCCAGGTACTGGGGAAGAGGAACGTAACCATAAAGAATCTGCAAGAGGGGAAGAAAAAACATATGTTAATAAATCTGTTTTTAAGTGTCTGAAATCTATTTTCAAAAGTCTATGCCTGAAGATCCTTGCAAAAATATTCTTTAAAAAATCCACGCCTAAGGCTGTGAAGATCCTTGCAAAAATATTCTTTAAAAAATCCACGCCTAAGGCTGTGAAGATCCTTGCAAAAATATTCTTTAAAAAATCCACGCCTAAGGCTGTGAAGATCCTTGCAAAAATATTCTTTAAAAAATCCACGCCTAAGGCTGTGAAGATCCTTGCAAAAATATTCTTTAAAAAATCCACGCCTAAGGCTGTGAAGATCCTTGCAAAAATATTCTTTAAAAAATCCACGCCTAAGGCTGTGAAGATCCTTGCAAAAATATTCTTTAAAAAATCCACGCCTAAGGCTGTGAAGATCCTTGCAAAAATATTCTTTAAAAAATCCACGCCTAAGGCTGTGAAGATCCTTGCAAAAATATTCTTTAAAAAATCCACGCCTAAGGCTGTGAAGATCCTTGCAAAAATATTCTTTAAAAAATCCACGCCTAAGGCTGTGAAGATCCTTGCAAAAATATTCTTTAAAAAATCCACGCCTAAGGCTGTGAAGATCCTTGCAAAAATATTCTTTAAAAAATCCACGCCTAAGGCTGTGAAGATCCTTGCAAAAATATTCTTTAAAAAATCCACGCCTAAGGCTGTGAAGATCCTTGCAAAAATATTCTTTAAAAAATCCACGCCTAAGGCTGTGAAGATCCTTGCAAAAATATTCTTTAAAAAATCCACGCCTAAGGCTGTGAAGATCCTTGCAAAAATATTCTTTAAAAAATCCACGCCTAAGGCTGTGAAGATCCTTGCAAAAATATTCTTTAAAAAATCCACGCCTAAGGCTGTGAAGATCCTTGCAAAAATATTCTTTAAAAAATCCACGCCTAAGGCTGTGAAGATCCTTGCAAAAATATTCTTTAAAAAATCCACGCCTAAGGTGAAGATCCTGCCGTGCGATGTGGTGTAGCGTTACGGATTTATTGCTGTGTGTAGATTTTTAAAAATAAAATCAGATACCCCTCCCTCTCTACTAAATTGATTTCTTTGTAAGAAATCAATTAGTAATTTTTGAACCATATTTTGATATGCTGGCTCCCTATATAGGGATAGGGGACTGATTTTGACATATTCCGGAAATTTTAATTTTTCCGATTGATCTGAGGTATGTTGTGGTGTATTTGTCCCCCTTCCAATTTTTTTTTTAATTATATTTTTTTTTTCAAATAATAATTGATGTCTTCTCCCATCAAAAAAATTTTTGCCCAATTCCGAAATGTGTCAACATAACCTCACTTAATGGATATTTAATGGTAAATTATGTCTATTAAATAATTATGTATAAGGTTTACAAAATATTATGGTTGACAATTGTTGTTGTTGTTATTGTGGTAACTGTCAATTAAATCTTTGCCAACAAATAGTGTGTGTGTGGAGCTCAAGTGAAAGTTATGAAGCCATTTACTGGCTGGGAGTATTAGCCAGCAATGAATCAATGGTATTATTGATTGATCGACAGCCGGACAACAGACAGCTGTAACATCTGATTAGATAAAATGTAACAACACTTGCACATGCATCACAGATGTGTGTACATATCAATAAAGAAAAATAATGAAATCGATAGCTTCGAACATTGGGAATGAGTATGATAGGAACCTCATGCATCTCAATCGGTGTGTGGTTCCAGCAGAAGACCAGATGAATGTCTATGTAGAACACGAGAGAAGAGGAAGGGTGAGAGTTAGTTAGCCAGTCTTTAATATGGATCCTCAAAAAAATCCCTGTTATAAGGTTGCAGGATACGATGCAGTCATCATTGTGAAGTCCTCCACACAAAACCCCTTTTTAGATAATTTATTATTAATATTTTTTTTCAATTATTTTTCCCAAAATTTTGAACTTAGCCTTCCCTTGCAAATAAAAAAATAATATTTTTATACCGATTCTAAATACGTAACAATCAATAAACATAAACATCTTGGTTAAGGTCTACGTAGTGATAAGAAGCTAATTTTTATTGGATTAGAGCACATCGAAAATAATACAACTTCATTAACGACCTTTGGGTTTTGTTATAAACATTTTTTTGTTTTGCAAATGTTTCAATAAAGAAAAAAATAAAATAAAAATTATATTTCATTAGCTTTGGAGGATTTTACAGATTTATTCGACACTTATCAATGACCCATATATTCATTGATAAGTACATTGAGAATTATGTGTATTCAATATCAAGATAATATTTCAACACTTCATTCATTATTATGAAGTGGAATTGGAATGTTATCAACAAAATCATGATCATTCAGAAAAGAGTATATAAATAGGTCATGATTATCAAGTAATTAAAATTTTGATTTTTAAAAATAAATACATAAATAAAAAATCTTCAATCTTTTTCAAGCCTACTAATCGACGTGGATTTTTAAAAAATAATTTTTTTTTTAAACATCCAAAATATTCGTAGATTAAAAAAAATTCAAACCTACTAATAGGCGTGGATTTTTTAAAAATATTTTTTCATCGATCCCAGGAGCGAATATCAACTATCTTGTGGCAGCCAAGGTGTAACACGGAAATTTGACATCGAAAAGCTGCAAACACAACAGATAGCAGATCCCTACTCCGCTCAACTTACCCCACAGCTTGACGAAAGCACCTCTTGTCCCGATAATAATATAGAAACACCGTGACAAACTGCAGCAAAAGCACCACTTGGGTACCAAAAACCACTATAACGAAACCCATGGTACGATCAGGAGTGTCGTAATGCTACGGATATGAAAAACGCAGCGTATAGGGCAAATCCTGCGGACAGTAGCAACACGTAATGCAGGGATGCACGCCCTTGCACTCTAGCGGTCAGCTCAACTCTCACGGATTCTTACGCTCATTTGTTTAGTCGTTGTTAAGACTTCAACAAGTAAGCGCCCCACACACGTCAAACATGTACGTTTGATCGGTGTGAAGCTGATAGCCCACAAATGAATCAACAAAACTTTGGTTTTTAAAAAATGAAGATGATCCGCAATAGTGACGACGCAAAAAAGACCGATCAATTTTATTTATTTAAATTTTTTAATTTAATTCACACCGATGGAAAGCACATGTTTAACGTGTGTGGCCCGCTTTAACTTTGTGTGCTAGTCTCACACATACATTTACAAATTGCCATCCTCTCACCGTGTGCATCACTGACGTAATGCGATGGAGAATTATCGGGAGAAATGGAGAGATGTGAAACGTGTTTTCAGAAAAAAAGAAGAAAGAACAAGAAAAACGTGAGCGTGAGCAAATCAAGATGTACAGGAGTCAAAATGAAGTCCGAAAATTCTACCAACGGGTAAAACACCAAACCGTAGGCTTTGATGCAGGCGCATCCTTCTGTAGACATGAAGAAGGAAACCTGGTGACAGATACAGACAGCGTGTTGAGGATCTGGAAGAAGCATTTTGAAAAACTTCTGGTATCAAATAGTAGCGGTGAAGAGGATACCCCAGAGCCAATAATAGATGACGGTATAGAGTGTATACCACCTAGCCAAGATGAAGTCAGAATAGCTATTAAACCCATCAGCAGGGGCCGATGGGTTACCGGCCGAACTATTCAAGACTGGTGGTCAGATGCTGGTAAGGAGCATGCACCAGCTGATTAGTACAATTTGGCTAGAAGAACGCATGACCAATGATTGGAACTTCAGCATCCTGTGTCCCGCGCACAAAAAAGGAGACAAGACGATATTTGCCAACTATAGAGGAATTATTCTCCTTCCCATCGTATATAAAGTGCTATCCAGCGTACTGTGTGAACGACTGAAGCCAATGGTCAATAACATTATTGGACCATACCAATGCGGCTTCAGACCTGGCAAATCCACCATTGACCAGATTTTCACTCTGTGCCAAATCCTGGAAAAATTCCATGAAAAATACATCAACACATTCCACCTATACGTCGACTATAAAGCCGCATTCGACAGTCCTGTCCGTTCAGAGGTGGCTTTATACACCTGCGTTTGACATTCCAAAATTAATACTGCTATGCAGGATAACTTTAACTGGCACAAGATCAGCAGTTATGTCGGAAAGGACCTCTCGGAGCCCCTTAATACCGAACGAAGATTCAGACAAGGTGACAGTTTCTCGTGTGACCTTTTTAACATCCCGCTGGAAAAGGTCATACGGGAGGCAAAAGTGAACAGAAATGGCACTCTGTACACCAAACAACACATGTTACTCGCCTACGCCGATGACATCGACATCATGGGTCGAACATTGGGAGCGGTAACAGCCAAAGTGGGTCTGGCAGTAAACGGCGAGAAGACCAAGCTGATGGTATCAACGTGCAAGACGTCCAGTAGACACGGACCAACTGTGGAACTTGAGAACTACAGCTTCGCGGTAGTCAAAGATTTTATATACCTTGGTACCGCAATAAACAAATCGAATGACATCAGTTTTTGGTACTTGCGCAAGCAGATGAGGCAGCTCTTGGAGTGTTTGAGAGAAAAATTCTCCGAAAGATCTATTGGCCGATCTGCGTTGACGGTGAATATCGCCGACGAATGAACCATGAGTTGTACCAGCTATTCTCGGACATCGACATTGAGCAGCAGCGACTACGTTGGCTAGGTCATGTTGTGAGAATGGAGGAAGACGCCCCAGCCCAGAAAGCAAAACAGCTGATGGTTCACGCAGAAGGGGAAGGCCACGAATAGGATGGAAGGACCAAGTGGAAAACAAAATTGCCGAATATGGTCTTTCAAATTGGAAAAACTGCGCAAAAGACCGACGCGGCTGGAAATCTTTTTTTAAGCTCGGCTTATGGAAGGAAAGTTCTGTCACAAGCCATCTAATAAGTAAGTATTTTTTTCAAAATTCAAAAAAAAAATTTTTCAGTATATTCAAACCATGTATGAACGCCCCAAAACAGAAACCCACAAATCAACCAC